ATATATAGTATAACGTCTCGTCTTTAATAATATATAGAGCAACTCTCTCTTAGACTTAGTTCTAACATCCTTTCAGACTAAATCTATAATTTTACAGACAATGCAAATATTATTAATTCTTGTTCAATGGTCAGGTACATTCTGGAACTTTCTATTGGTCACTCTCTCGTCACGTTTTATGACGTCATGTTCTAGAATATTACATTTCGATAGTATATATAAATGAGAGGTCGTTCGCTGTTAGTTCATTTGTACGGTACTCGACTTAAAATCGTAATAGAATTTGATTTCAATCTTAAAAGAAGACATTAAACATGACTGATGAATTCAATCGATATTATATCAAAATTCGAGCTATTTTGAGAATAGATTCAAAAACAATCTTTGACGAACTTACAGAGGCATTGGGACCTGATGCTCCATCATATCCAACAGTCAGAAGATGGGCGAAACGTTTTCGTGAAGGAAGAGACGATGTCACTGATGATCCTCGATCTGGTCGTCCGATTTCGGTACTTACAGATGAAAATGTTGAACACGTTCGACAAGTTATCGAAGATGATCCACACTCAACTTATGATGATATTATGGGTGAGACTGATCTATCACGTGGTACAATAGAGTGAATTATTCATGATCGTCTAAAGATGAGAAAAGTTACATCACGTTGGGTTGCTCATCAACTTACTGACGAACAAAAACAAAAACGACTTAGAATTTGTCGTCAAAATTTAGAGAAATTTAGAAATGGAACATGGCATTTATGTGATGTTATTACTGGTGATGAGACATGGATTTATCACAGGCAGATTGGTCGAAAGTCAAGCAATGCTACTTGGGTTGGCGCAAATGAACCACCAAGAACCATTGTTCGTCGGAATAGATTTGAACCTAGAACACTATTTTGCTTCTTCTTCAAATCCACTGGTTCTCTTCTCATACACAAAGTAGATAAGGGCAAGACAATCGATCATGACTACTATATTGATAATTGTCTTATACCTGTTATCAATGAAATAAGAAAAAAGGAAAAGTCATCACGTACTACATATAAAATGCTTCATGATAATGGTCCTCCTCATACTCATCCAGATGTTATTGATTATTTAATGGAGGAAGGAATCGAAATCATTCCACATCCATCATATTCACCAGATCTCGCACCGTGTGACTTTTGGCTAAATGATTATATCAAGAACAAGTTGACGGATCACACAAACGAAGAATCATTAGCTCAAGAGGTTTCCACCATAGTGAAGAATATTCCAATAAACGAGTTTAAAAAGACTTTCGATAAACTGTTAGAAAGAATGAAACTTTGTATCGAAAATAATGGTGATTATTTTGAGCATTTAATAAAATAAAATAACGAATGTCTCTTCGTTTCTGTATTGTGGTTTTATGTTGGCATGATCTTTTCTTGGCTATAAATAATATAGATTTAGTCTGAAAGGATGTTAGAACTAAGTCTAAGAGAGAGTTGCTCTATATATTATTAAAGACGAGACGTTATACTATATATTGCCTTAGTAAAATATTCAATATTTATTGCTTTATTAAATTTTAAAAACTGTGATCAGAACTTTTGGTATATCCTAAGTAAACAAGAGACTGCAATGCTGACTCAATATTTTTATTCTTTTGTTGTCGAAAATTAAAA